ACACGACCAAGGACCACAACGTCCTACACGTCACACGACCAAGGACCACAACGTCCTACACGTCACACGACCAAGGACCACAACCTCCTACACGTCACACGACCAAGGACCACAACCTCCTACACGTCACACGACCAAGGACCACAACGTCCTACACGTCACACGACCAAGGACCACAACGTCCTACACGTCACACGACCAAGGACCACAACGTCCTACACGTCACACGGTCCACGTACCCACAGCTCAGTGACTTACCATTACGATGCAGGCGATGAGTCACAACGTGGCTAATGTTGACCAGACCACACATTAGAAGGTAAAGGGACGACGACGTTTCGGTCCGTCCTGGACCATTCTCAAGTCGATCGTGACACAATCGACTTGAGAATGGTCCAGGACGGACCGAAACGTCGTCGTCCCTTCACCTTCTAGTGTGTGGTCTGGTCATCATCATTACGAACATGCAGCAACCTCTGACATGACGCTATACCATTCATCACTCACAAATGACATGTGAAATTGTGCAGAGTTCACAACCCTCCTCCCTTTCTCTTACTCTATCTTCTAATCCCTTTCAGTCCTCCTCCCTATCTAGCTTCCTCTATGCCTGGGGAGCTATTTCGGATGGGTTCGAGCCCTGGTAAGAGTGTTAGTCTAGATTAACTATCCATCCAGCAGTAGTTGGGAGACCTGGTTGTAAATCGATTGACATTTCATGTTCCATGGAAAATAGTGCAGTAAGGCTTATAAAGATAAGCAATGATTGAGGGAAATTTATAAACCTCCTAACAAGGGTAGTTGGCTCCTGAAGGCCTACCAATATGTGGATACCTAATGATAATTTAAGGGTCAATGAATTCAGACGTCTAGTCGCTTGTCTGAGCGGTTGTCTGGCGGGCCTGGAGGCCTAATCTACCCACGTAACCAACCGGTAACAAGCGGTTCCTTCCCCCTGACTGTCTGGACAAGAAAAATCATAAGCTCTCACACGTGTCAAACTTATTAGCCTAAAGTATTTCACGACGATTTCGAGCCCGATGTTTTCGATCGTGTATTTCCAAATGGAAAGCTGTATTACTTCAAATTTTATAATTATATGTTTTTATCTTTATTACTAGGTGGATACGCAAGTTGATTTTAGTGTATCTTAGATATGGTCATCCTGTCATTTTATTTATATCTAAATTCATGCGTAGTATAATTGTACGAGATCTTTTATCAGGTTCTAAATTAATTATTTTTAACCGAAATATGATTAATAGCGACACTAGTTTTTATAATTATCATTGTTACTATTACAACTATTAGAGCAATAAGGAACCATTATCACTACTGGTAAAGCCACTACTATTGCTAGTGCCGCTACTACTGTAGGCTTACTCTATTGCCAGTACTATTACTACTATTGCCTTCACTATCATTATAAATTAGGTTTTACCAACATACCCACACAGTGGACCCAAGATGGCTTACCCATAGGAGACGTTGACTGGGTATTTAGGCAGGCATGGCACCTACTGCCCCCAAGGTAAGCCTCATCAACCGGACTGTGATTCATATTTCAGATTGCGAGCAGCGACATCTAACAGCCTAACTGACCAGACTCCCTAGAAACACAAACCGAAACTGTCTTTATTTTCCGCTTGTTACAACTTGTAATAAAGTTGTTACCTCTTGGCTTAACGTGTTTATGACGTATTAGAACGTTGTTACAACTTGCTATATTGGTTGTTATAACTGGTTAGGAGGTGTTAAAACTTGTTCGAACGTTGTACCAACGTCGTATTTTCGGTGTGTGTTTGGCGGGCTACCAACCAGAAGACCTGATTAATAGACCAGGCTGCGGGGATACTGCAACCCGTTCTCGCACTTTCGTACAGTCAATATTGAATTTTGCATACTGATCCCCGGAAGTAACAAGGTAGGTAACCCACGCAGACGGTGTCAAGGAAAGCCTGGTCATCTCACCACCAAACGTGTCGTCCTACCAGCGATTGCTGTCTGTGATAACTTATCGCGACTTTAGTTCTTCTGGTACGCCACCCAAGGCCCTAAGATCGTCAATCATATCATCTCTTTGTCTCGCAGCAGTGGCTGCTATTTCACACAATCTCCTTGCAGATTGAGCTGCACCCCAAGCAAGCGCACGATACTCATCCATTGCAGCCTACCCAAACACACGATATAGACATATACGATATAGACACAGTGTGTGTGAGTATAGATACTCACACACACATATGATATATACTATCCAAACACGATACACATATATTACGCATAAATTTATGAAACATATGTACGCAAAGGCCCAATATCACAAGGTTTTCAAGAATATTTTTCACCACTGAGTAAGGCTTAAGGTTAATTAATTATTTAAGTCTGGTGCATTCAGTTTGGTAGAGAAAGTTAAACAATGGCTGAGGGAAAGCTATAAACCTGTTAACAAGGGTAGTTGGCTCTCGAAGGCCTACCAATATATGGATACATAATTAAACGGTCAATGAATTCAGATGTCTAGCCGCTTGTCTGGCCTGCTGTCTGGTGGGCCTGGAGGCCTAATCTACACACGTAACAAACCGGTAACGAGCGGTTGGTTCCCGCAACTGATAGTATTAATCGCTTACAAGAACTAGCTCCGTTGAGGCTTCCAGATCCTAAAGACGCATCATTTAAGCCTGTAATTATACAGACTTTTTCGAATTTATATGTGGTAAATGAGTGTAATCTTCTCATGGTCACTACGACAGCATAGACGAACATGCTTAAAGGATTAGCTCGCTTGAATGAAAACTTATATACATATTCAACACTGTGTAAACAAACTTATCTTAATGGAATCATACAATGACTACCATATCTTATGAATAAACTTTAATATAAATAAAACCTAACTTCCAATAAATAATTTATAATCAATTACTCTTGAACTTCATATTTAGTATTTAATATTGGAAGTCTACAAAACAAAATTATAAACCTATTATTATTCAAATTAAATCAATCCAATGCAAGATCGTGATAAGGCACTTCACTTAGCTCTAACATGAGCTACAGAACATCTACAGCGACCAGTATAATATGCCCCACATACACGAATAACACCACCACGCTTGCTCACAGTGGCACACTTAGATAATTACAATGATTTTGGGTACAAGTGTATCCACGCGCTCCCAGCCTATTCAACTCCCCCCCCCCCCCCACTACTATCCCTGCCTCCCCAAAACAGTACACTAAACATATACAATAGTGCATACTTTTGGACAAATTGAAGACTTTTCATACATATTCATGGACGTATTGAGAGACACACGGTGCACAGTCCTGAACACGGTACAAACATCCAGGGATTATAATCAAATACAATAACAATATAATCCTCGAAAACAGCAAAATCGGCATAGAAAAGTAGTCACAAGATCTAGCTATTTAATTTACACAAAATTACAAATTCGCTATTCAAAATTTCTAGCATGAGCTCCGTAGACCACATGAAACACCACTACTACGGGATACCACGACGCTATCCTGGTGCATGAAACACCACTACCACAGGATACCACAACGGTATCCTAGTGCATGAATCACCACAGGTGACCGCATGAATGACATCCATGCGGGATACCGCATACCGAATGGGATATCCATACGGGGTGGTGCATGAAACACCACCATATCCAAGATTGACTGTACCCACAAGCAACAAAAACACAAATACAATAGTATACAATACACTATCCTGTAATACACAAGATACAGCTCTGCCAAACAACTCGATACAAAATAAAGTTAGAAATGACAATTACTTATCATGTAATCAGACAATAAACAAGACACTTCAACATGTGTTTACCTAACATGCACCACAGCTGTCAAGACGGACGCCGATAACCTGTTATTCATTCTCGATAATCGTGACCTGACCTGACCCGGTGTGATCCAACCGGACATGACCCGGTGTGATCCAACCTGACATGACCCGGTGTGATCCAACCTGACATGACCCGGTGTGATCCAACCTGACATGACCCGGTGTGATCCAACCTGACATGACCCGGTGTGATCCAACCTGACATGACCCGGTGTGATCCAACCTGACATGACCCGGTGTGATCCAACCTGACATGACCCGGTGTGATCCAACCTGACATGACCCGGTGTGATCCAACCTGACATGACCCGGTGTGATCTAACCTGACATGACCCGGTGTGATCCAACCTGACATGACCCGGTGTGATCTAACCTGACATGACCCGGTGTGATCTAACCTGACATGACCCGGTGTGATCTAACCTGACATGACCCGGTGTGATCCAACCTGACAGAGTTCATTTCGTACACACTATATGGAGTATCTTGTAACCGTTTCTGGACCGTAGAGCCAAGCTGTACAATATCCTACATACAATTTTAATGTATAACGCAGGCTGTATTATTTGAAAGTGTGTACAAGAACAGTTTGGCGACTGAAAATGACCTGTGCCCATGGCTGCTATTTTGAAAAATCACATAACTGGTCGAATAGTTTGTTTTTAAATATTTCGAGTACAGCCTGGAACACTTATCTGGAATTCTAGGTAGGTCTTCAAGTGCACCCACCATAATTGCTTCCTTAGGAGAGCTCTCTATCGAGAAAAAGTTAGTTTTCCTTCAACTGGAGCAGTGACCTGACTCTGGCAGCCTCGTTCCAGGTCATGTTCAAGTCTGCGGGATCCACAACTCTCCAAATATTGACAAGACAATACAGGAGGGATGATTTGTAAACAAACCCGTTTAAGGTTTGTTTATCACGGTAACCCACCCACAGGTATGACCTAACTTGACATTGTCAGACCTTCACCGGTTTATACTCACTAAACACAATTTTAAACTGATAAATAACCATTGCTGTGTCTGGGAATATGGAATACGTGCACTTGAAAATTTAAACCATGAGCCGGTGTGATCCGACCATGGACTAGTAACTCTGACCATGAACTATGACCTGACTTACCGTGGGAAAGACGTCTTCAGTTCCTTCTATCACTGCGATGACCCAGGGCTTCAGGGGAGACATCTAATTCTCCCTCAGTAAGTCCAATTCAAATCCTCAAGAAGACACACGAACACTCACTGCCCCAATCGTCGCCAATCAAAACAACCACAGATCGAACAATCACTATACGTGGGTTAGGCCACTGGACGTGTCAGTGTAGGTGGATAGTCATAGTGAGGTTATATAGTGTGAGGAGCGAACGACACGACACCGCGGAGGTCGAGCGAGCACTGGTAGTCGACCCACTCCACGGCTGGTTATAAAGCCCCAACACTCTCCACAGCTGCCCACCGCTACCACCCGTCCTGTTTAAACTACTATATAACTTTCCACTCACCTGCCTCACACACTTTATCGTTATCATATGACCTTACACGGTTCACTATTGTGCTATGTGCAATATACATTTGCTTGTAAATGCCAACAGAGAAGATCTTATACCGAAAACTCAATTCTTCTATTGGGATTGATGCCTGGCTTTGGCTTCATTGTGGTCCTATTTATATGTGACTTCAGGTTTGACCTGAAACAAACTATACATCCACCTCCCGGCAATAACGAATGGATTACAGAGAACATACGAGGAGGGCGATGCACTGTGAGAAGAGACGCATATATACGGAATAAGATGTTCTAGGGAGCGGAATATCCCCGCGAGGCGTCTAAGATTGCATCATCCACTTCACCATCCACACTATTGTACCTCGAGATGTTATCCGTCGCTGTACCCAGATTACATGTACTCTTTTCTATTATTATTATTATTATTATTATTAGCGTGTGAACTGCTTTTTGTCACGTGATGGAATATTTTGTTTCGTCTTTGAAGCTATACATGGGTATTAAAGCTATATTACATACATACATATATATATATATATATATATATATATATATATATATATATATATATATATATATATATATATATGTGTGTGTGTGTGTGTGTGTGTCTGAAAACTCACGAGTTTTCAGACACATATAGTCCTGGGGACCATTCAGGCTTGTTCGCATATATATATATATATATATATATATATATATATATATATATATATATATATATATATATATATATATATATATATATATAGGCTATTTTATAATTTTTAGATCCGTCAAGGATATATAGGCGTCTCCATATAGCTGTCAATATGTATAACAATACAGTACTGCTGATCTAAAAGGAAAATTTCTGCTTCATAGATAAACGCAGTTATAACCAATTGCAAACTTTGTATAAGTCTTTTTAAATCATTCTTTACATACGTAATTATATATTAATGATATACTATATCACGGCGAATTCTGGTATAACAAAACTAGTTCTAATATATCTTATTTACAAACGTATGTAATCATTAAGTTGTTGTTTAGTCAGAATTTATTTGATTTTTGTATTGAGGCAGGTATTTTCTCCCCTGATTCCATGTATGACTATCCGGTGAGATGGGACTATTAGATGAACTTATAGCTAGTTTTTTTTTTCATCTACAGTGTGTAATCTTTCATATTGCATTGCATTGCGTAATTACGCATTGCGTAATAGTGGCTTTAGGCATTGTATGTACTAGCTCTATCTATATATCAATCCATTAATGTAACATCACTTGTATGTATATACCTTACCTGAATAAACATCTGAATCTGAATCTGAATCTGAATATATAGAAAAGGGTAGCAAAGAAAAAGAATTATTTATATGATGGAAGGGTGGGAGGAAATTGTATTATTGTGGTTATTTAAAATAATAATAATTATTATTATTAACCTAAAGTAATTTTAGAAAAATACGAGTAAGTAATTATCAAAAGAAGGCGCCAAGCCAGGGAGACTATGCAGCCGTCAACAGATGGCAGAACCATCGCCTGTCGTTGACGAACCCATTTTCTATGACCGGGTTTGTTTATAAACAAATTTAAAAGACTCAGTAGCAACAACCATTACTGTTTAAAAGCAAATAATTGTTTTGTCAATTCAAAATGTAAGGAAACATGCGTATCAAAGAAACTTAAAGTGAAATTAAATAAATGGCAAATATTTAATAAAATTATTTAAAAAAGGTCAGGCGATTTTTTTTTTAATTACGAAAATACCTAAATTCACGGAGAGCTTTCTCATCGAGCGCCTCAATGTAGCGATCCAGAGGGGGAATGCCCTCTGGATCCTCGATTCCTGCCCGACGTCGGAGGTGTTTAAAGAAATCTACAGCCTCTTGGAAATTATCTTCCCATTATTTCCTTTTAATGTCCACATTTTGTAACCAATCAGCTATGTAATTGTGTATCCTTGTATAATAAAGGGTACAACATAAATATTACAAAAGGGGTGGAAGGAGAAGCGAATACTCATACGTATTTAGAGTCAAATGGTGAGTTTTTCTCTGAATACTTTTTACTTCCTTCTCCAAGGCTATGGGTCCCTACAATTGCACCAGAGGTGGTACCCCTGTGTAGCCTTAATGCACATTATATCTTGGAGATGTCGATTATGACTTTACACTACTGAAAATGGCCATCATGACTTCATACTATTTCTTAAAATGGGAAATATGACATGACTAAGAGGTAATGCTGTTAGGAATTAAGTGTACAGCATGTCAACCATGATCAGTCAGATGTGAGGTGCACAGCATGTCAGTCATGATCAGTCAGATGTGAGGTGCACAGCATGTCGATCATGATCAGTCAGATGTGAGGTGCACAGCATGTCGACCATGAGCAGTCACTTGTGAGGTGCACAGCATGTCGACCATGAGCAGTCACTTATGAAGTGCACAGCATGTCGACCATGAGCAGTCACTTATGAGGTGCACAGCATGTCGACAGTGATGAGTCAGATGTTGTGAAGGTGAGCAGCATGCCAATGATGAGGCAGTCACATGAGGCCATAATGAAGATGGACCAAATTATTGCAAGGAATGTATAAACCGCCACGCTCCATATAAGGGGTATCACCTTCCTGTACTAATCTCAAGGTTTCTTGCAACAGCATGCTAATTCCCTGCCTTGGGTAGCGACAAGGTCCAGTATACTGGGATAGTGCAGCGGTTCACGGGGGACTGTGCAACGGTTCACGGGGACTGTGCAGCGGTTCACGGGGGACTGTGCAACGGTTCACGGGGGACTGTGCAACGGTTCACGGGAACTGTGCAGAGGGACACGGGGAATGCAATGATATCAAGCGAATGTGAAATGATACCTAAGGAATGCGCAATGGTGCAGGTAATGTGCAACATTATATTGGGACTGTACAGTGGTTTCAGGGGGGCCGGTGCAACCATACATGGGACTGCACTCAATAATGTGCATGTTAAAAAAAATCAAATTCAAAATTCAAATATTTATTCAGGTAAAGTACATACATACAAGGTGTGAAACAAACATTGATGAATTTTTTCACCTGGACCCTGTCCTCCCCAGTGTACGTGAGTACAAACGCCTAGTAACTGTCGAGAAAGACCTGCTGCGCGTTGTAGCACATCTCTCAGACATGTGACTGATAAAGCCTACTCATTCATATGCAGGCAATCGACTTGAGAATGGTCCAGGACGGACCGAAACGTCGTCGTCCCTTCACTTTCTAGTGTGTGGTTTGGTCAACCTACTCATTCATCCTTTTTTCCCCTTAACATGGGAATACAGGAAGCTGCAGACAGCCTATTGGCCCATACGAGGCTACGCCTGTTTATTTCAACTTAACTCGTTCGTATACATGTATAACCTACGCTTGATAACAATGAAGTGTTCCCACGACTGTTATTATATGTTACTCGGTAATTTGTTCCACAAATCAACAACAGTGGCCCCGTTTCACTGCATTAATAATTCCGTTCATGAACAGATGTAGCCTGAGGGACACTAACAATAAATATAGTTCTCTAATGCAATAATTAAATTAGGTTGTGTAGATCTACAGAACAGCTCCAATTTATTAATGAAAGTGCATGTCTGCACGAGGCTAGTGTCATTGTAACAGCTCCATTAATTGGTTTAATTCAGCTTGACATTTCCATTCGCAGTTGTGCTAACAACAACTGGCACAACTCACGAGCACCGTCGCGTAATAGTATATGTTAAGTGACACTGTGAAGCAACAGTACCGTGAATGATGATGGACAGCTAAGACATCTGGGGTCGTTAAAGATGGTGGGATAGGTGATTGAAATATGTGTTCAATTCCACACATTGCTGCAAAGATTTAATCACAGAGTTATCACGTTATTGTGTTTGTTTTGTATATGCTGGTATGATAGGAAATGATTGTGGCCCTCCTGGAGAATGAGGATAGGAAGTAAGGTTTACTGAAACCTTATAGATATACATGGTTTCACATTTTCTCTACAAATAACATCAGAGGGACGTCGATTTATGTTAGGAACTGATCCATACAAGTAGAGTTAGTAGAACCACCGACAAAATTACATGGTATAGAGTTAAATTATCATTGAAGTCATGGGAATTCATTGTTGTTAATTTGTATGTATCACAGGGAACTGTACTTCGACGCTCATTATTTACCAGTTTATACTATCCTTCGGTCAACAGGTTCAGAGTGTGGCAACCAGATCCCTGGGGCGTGTCATGAATGCTGAGGCTATGGTCATATTGCTAAGCACTTGATTGTTGCCGCCAGAAGCGGCTAGTTTATTGTGCACCTCATACTCATCATGTGAGCTGTAGTGCTAAGAAAAAAGGATTACAGAGGGCACAAAAGGTCTTTATCAGACCTTAACGGATATTATTACATTAACAATTACATCTATCCTGCACACATAAATATACTGTCAGCTCGTCACAGAGAACCCATTTCAATAGCTATGTATTTACAGTTAATCATTATACATTAATGCTGTTGGAACTCGCCCAAGTGTGGACCGAACTCGTGCACTGAAGGACTTGAATACAAGAGTCAAGATCAACGAAAGCAGGGGGAAAAAAATAGCAATAGGGGAACTGACTGGAACTGTTCTTCCATCTAAGTGCGTCAGATGTTATAAAGAAGAGATAACCACTTGGCACCAAAACTGTGTCAAACGACCAGCACAAGGAGGCAAGTGCCCCAATAAACACACTCTGAGGCAGGCTTCAGTAATGGCGACCCCTCCCATAATATGATGACAGTATCAGCATTTTATGTTTATTTATATATACAAGAGTTCTTACATTCTTGCACAGCCACTAGCACGCATAGCGTTTCGGGCAAGTCCTTAATCCTAATTTTCACACACACACATCCCCAGGAAGCAGCCCGTAGCAGCTGTCTAATTCCTAGGTATCTATTTACTACTAGGTAACAGGGGCATCAAGGTGAAAGAAACTCTGCCCATTTTTTTCGCCTTCCGTCGGGGATCGAACCCGACCCTTAGAACTACGAACCCCGAGCGCTGTCCACTCAGCCGTCAGGGCCCCACTATCACCACCAACAACAAACAACAGATTGAGTCAACGCTTGAGGGAGGGGTTGGCTGCCTTGCAAGTACAGGTGGAAGAAATAGCTCAAACTACAACAGTTACAGCCCCGCTCCTGTGCCGGGTAAGCCCACTACGGGCTCACCATAGCCCGTGCTACTTGCAACTTTATGTTCCTAGTAGCTGAATCTAAAACAACAACACAAACTATACAGACGGTACGCCAGGTCTCGTCACAAAGGATATAACGACCCGCCCTCAGCCGTGTCACAACTGTGGGCGGGGAAGCTAGAGGAAATTGTGACGTCGGAGGCGACAACGAGAATGGAGTGAAAATGGAGAACGGTGGTGATGACCGAGCCACTTATGACACCTGTGATTTTAAAACAAGGAATAACAGAAAATGGATGGCAACCCGCCATAACAAATACCGCACTGAAACATGAAATGAGCAAATCCAACTCAGGTTCAAGTTCAAGTAAGTTTATAGTGATAATAAAATATTCTGTAACGTATGTTTACGTGTACACATTTGGGTGACAAGACTTGATTAAGAGTTTAGTGTTTTTTTCATGTTTATTTTATAGTCTTCGTTACAATAGTTGGTTGTTGAAAAATGTAGTGAAGTGTTGTGTTACCTGAGACGAGAGCAGAGAGCTTAACCATCGCTGAACAATACCACAGTATTCCTTTATCTTCATAAATTTGCCTTGCATTTATCTTCGCTGGTGATAGTGACACCGCCTTCATGTTATCGCAATAGTTCTCTCAGCTTCAAGAAAAAATTACTGATATCGTAAATGGTATTTTATTTACCAGTCATAATATCTATCGATTGTTTTAGTGTTGTTTGTCAAGGGCCCCTTTATAGTCCCAGAGGGACCCCCAGAAGCGACTTTATTCCACATTACTTAAAAATTTTGCTCTTGTAACTAACCTTATAAGAGCAAGTAGATGATGAATAACATTAAATAGATGAAGAACAACATTAAGTACAGGTTCTAGACATGTTCATGTGATGGCTAGTTTAGGTATGACTGAACTAATGTTGTATACAAGGCTATATACACTTATTCGCGGGACCTGTCACTGCATCACACTATCTCTGTTATCACCTGCTCCAAAGGAATGATTATGATTGAAAAAATGCTGAGCTTATATTACACTGGGGAAAACACACGTTCATGGTACAAGTTCACTTGACCAGCTCTAATCTTTTATTTGTGGACATGAACTTTGAACTTGAAGGATGATACGATTTCAGTCAATATATATTTAATTCAAAGTTATGCAATACCAGTAATCTTAGTTTAATATCCAAAGTTTGCTTACTGTAGGTAGTGCATGCCTATGACTGTGAAGTTGCAACCATTGCCCACTGGTGGGTGTGGAGATGCATGATTGATTGATAAAGATTAACCCACCCAAAAGGTGGCACGGGCATGAATAGCCCATAATTTCAAGAGTAGTTAATTTCTCTCTCTCTCTCTCTCTCTCTCTCTCTCTCTCTCTCTCTCTCTCTCTCTCTCTCTCTCTCTCTCTCTCTCTCTCTCTCTCTCTCTCTCTCTCTCTCTCTCTCTCTCTCTCTATATCTCTCTCTCTATATATATATATATATATATATATATATCGAACAAGCCTGAATGGTCCCCAGGACATTCTGGGGACCATGTCACACCCCAGAAAACTCTGGGGTGTGAGTTTTCAGTTATATATATATATATATATATATATATATATATATATATATATATATATATATATATATATATATATAGGTTCATGTAAACGAAATTATTATTATTACTTTCATACTCTCGCTATGAAAGCGAGAGTATGTTGCAAGGCCCTTGGAACAATTAAGGCGGCAACATTAACATGTTGATAACAATGCTCCTCTGAAGATAATAACAGGAATGTAAACAAATGATAACATGGAGAAAAACACTAACTGGCAACATCACCGAGTATCGTACTCACCTAGTTGTGCTTGCGGGGGTTGAGCTTTGGCTCTTTGGTCCCGCCTCTCAACCGTGTACTCACCTAATTGTATATCACTTTATTTGTATATATATATATATATACATAGACACACACACAGAGACAGACAGACAGACAGACACTGACTGACTCATGGCGTCAGCGCCACGACGGTGGTAAGAACGCAGACTTGTTGATTCGTACATAACCGTTCCGGTACACACACAAAAACCAGTTCGCTCACTAATAATTTCGTTTACATGAACCTTTTCCTATATACTTATGCGCTGGCTTGTGTTCGTTGCTGTTCTTGTCTTCCAAAACAATAAAATAACCTCAATACATATTATTGTATACAATTATAACTAGCACAGTAAATGTAATAGGAGTCTACCCAAAAACTAGCCACAGTCAAGTGTTTTGTGCGTTTGACCATGTTTGTGGGCCTTCAGATGTGCAAAGTTAACGCTGGCGGACGTCGTTGTGTATGTGTATGTATATATTTATACGTATATATATATGTACATGTGTATACAACATTGATAATTTTGTAACTAGCGTCAAAATTGTTATTTGCTTAGCTAAACGAACTAGAGGGTTCAGTTCCTGAACCGATTATGTGCCTCTGTAATCCTTTACACCACCGCCCACGGGATGGGTATGGGGTGCATAATAAAGAAAGAAATTGAATTGGGCGTCGTTGTTATGAAGCCCGGACTATGTCCATCACATCATTCAACTTCATTTAATAACTATATGCCTATTCAGTAGAAGATTTTAATTTGTTAATATCATTATATTGTGGTTTTAATACTGAACAATGATATTTACGAAGCGTACTAATTTCGAAATGGTAAAAATATGCGTGATGTACTTATGTCATTATTTCTTTTATCTACACTGTGTAGTCCTTCATACACAATAGGGTAGCATCATATTATACATAAGCGTATACACATAAGCTTGTTAAAAAAACGACATTGTTTGAGAGGAGTCTTGTAGAACCTGGTAAGAGTAATTAAAAAATAATGTTCCTATGATTTAGTGCTTAGCTCTTGTGAAAATCGTGAAGTTGTTGTTTAGTCAGAGTTGATTTATTTTTTGTATTAAGGCAGGTATTTTCTCCCCCTGATTCCATATATGGCTAACAATCCTGTGAGATGGGAATATTCGATGAACTTATAGATATATTTTTATCTACACTGTAATCTTTCATATAGAATTGGGTAGCAGCACATTACTGTGTATACCTAAGCTTGTTAATAATAAAAAATGTACCAAGTCTTATTGTCTTATAGTCTTCCGTGTCCATAAAAACGGAAAGTTTCTGTGCGTAAAGGAATCAAAATCTTGTTAAGTTTCCCCCTCAAAATGTCGTCATTTCGTACCCTAACATTTCGCCTATAAATTAAGACTAAAAATTGAGTAAAATATATGTATATAAATCTATATATATAAATGTTTTTAACAGTGGCAGTACACAAGAGCCATGAAGGCAGCTGAGGACTGGACAAGTTAGTCAATGTTAGGAGAGGTTGGAGTGATAGTGATATAAAGATTCCTTGTGATTCCTTGCCCGAAACGCTATGCGTACTAGTGGCTTTAGGTATTATATGTACTACCTCTATCTTTAAATCTAACAGAATGTTTGTACTGTAACTCTGCAACAATGTATGTACTTTTCCTAAATAAATTATTATTATTATTATTATTGTTATTAAGAACCATCTGACGCCTCAAGCCGCCCGTCTTCAAAAACATGGCAGTGGGAGGCGTCCCCGCACCCGCTCTCATATTCCCCGCCATAGCCTGCTAGTGCTCGCCCTTATCGTCATGTCCAACGACTTGGAGGAAGCCATAAGCTTCCTGGTCAAGAGTAAGTGGCGGCTTGTGCCTGTCTCCGTCAATCTCGGCCAGGAAGAGGCAGTGTTGTGGTGGCGGGGCCTCCACCTAATTGCACAATGACCTCTCATAAAACTTTATACCTGTACTTCGATTGTTATGGATTTATATAATCATTTTGTGGCTTTAAATCCGGGTTGAAGTAGTCTTGGGTGAGGGGGCTCCTGTTAGGAGGAGTCGCCCCGTCCAGCCTACTCGCTCTTGGCCTGGTTTTAGGCTATTTACATGAGGGTTATATTTCATAACGATAATGATGCTTAATAATTTATATAAAGAACATTTAAAACATGAGAGTAGAGCATTCTCGGGTATATATGCAGTGTATCTGAAACTTCCCATATGTGAAGTGGTTCAGCCAAGGTTTGGAGCGAATTGGAAAATGGGTGAATTGTCACGATTATTATTTCTGAATATAAAAACAATTTTGTTCAAATAAAATTCTTGGTACTTTTGTGGCCTGTACATAGGCTTATTGAACTGTAAATCTCTGGTGCATTACATTTAATGTAAACATTTGGATAACTGTATCCAAGCATGGAGACCTCGTCTTCAGAAGGACACAGTTTCTACCAGTTGATTGACAGTTGAGAGGCAGGACCAAAGAGCCAAAGCTCAACCCACACAAGCACAACTAGGTTACTACAATTGCTCTGGAGAAAGTGCAACACCAGGCAAGAAAAGTCATTCCAGAGCTAGGTCATCTCTTGTATAAGGAGCGCTTGAAGGCTCACAGGGCTAACAACACCACATATCAGACATGACAGGGTGCATCTCGATGTATCTTTTAAAATACTGAACAAGTTAGAGGATGTTGATCCGGGCAATTTCTTCAGGTCAGATGTAACATGAACAAGGAGCAACGGTTTGTTTTAAATTCAACAAGCCACAATGTGGGACTGAGAATAGGAGAGGCTATTTCACCCACAGGGTTATAAACCCCATAGAACCGCCTACCTACCAAAGCTGTAAATACCAAGACTGTGTTAAGTTTTAAAATCTACATGGAAAAGATAAAGGCAAATGGGGGACCTTTGATAAGCCGCAGGCTTCCTGTCCACATCGAGGCGACTAGGGTTAGTGTCCCTCAGGTAAATCAGGTTATTGAGACCCCCCCTCCCCTCCATACACCAACAACTGACCTTCCCCAAAATGCATCACAACATTTGACCAAATCCTGGGTACAAGTTTACTGCTTGGTGAATAGAGGCATCAGGTGAATGGAAATGTGCCTAACGGTTTCTGTCCTGCCCAAGAATTGAGCCGAGTTCCTCGGGTGTAAGCTGAGAATGTAGACCACTGGTTCAGGATCCATTTTACAGATGGTGGTCTTGAACTGATCTCACGGTACATTTGGTTTCGTTCTCGTCTAACAGTTGGGAATCCTGGGTTTGATTTCCAGGTGGGACATAAGTGATTGGCACATTTCCTTTCACCTAATATAACTGTTCACATAGCAGTAAATAGGTACCCGGGTGTTAGGCAACTGTTGTGGGGTTACATCCTGGGGAAGGTCAGTAGTTTGATCTTGGGTGAGGGGGGGGGGACTTATATATACATACTTATATATACATATATACTTATGTACTTAATATACTTGTATATACATACTTATATATATGTATATACATACTTAAATGTGTATATACACAGACTTCCTATCCCCAACAATGGTTTTATATTAACTTAGTGATTGCTGAATGAAATGTGTATTGTTCACTGTCCAAGTTTTTTTTTTTTTTTTTTTAACATACATTCCATGAAACAAACTTTGGACTAAGGATATGCCCATTGTAGATTTTCAAACAACAGGAATAGATGATATAGACACTACTCATTAGCTGATGGGCAACCCCAGAACTAACTTACAAATAATGCCTCTGTGGGTATGGTAACACTTTTTTTTTTGTTAATTCTTGTTCACTCATATTAATAAAGTATTACCTCTAGTTTTAAAGTAAAGCTAGCAGTTACTATGATTGAATCGGGATACTATACTGTACTATATTTTTCAGATGCAAGCAGCCGACCACGGGACATTAATAATGAGGAGATGAAGCGTCATGTTGCAGAGCTTCAAAAAGCATCAGTGAATGGCTTAAGCGCTAAGCAGATTGTGACTCTGGCTAATAATGTTGTTTTCACAAATGGCTATGGTACAGTATGAGTAAAAGCATGTTTTAATGATTAACCTTTCAGCTGTATAGAATTTGTGTTAGGCCTGTATTACTGAGCATTATGCCTACATGCATATAAATTACTATATTAGTATTAGGCCTATAGAAAATTCAGTACAGTATTGCAATATACTGTTTTTGCCTGTTTATAATTATTCAGGATTTTACTGTATTTTCTGGTTAGGATGATGTCCTTAACTTGCTTCATTCTAAATATTCCTTGGCGAAGGTTTAATAGTGATTTTGGAGCAACACTTTAATTGAGATGAATTATGTTTGACCAGATATTATGTTGAATATGTACAAAAAATGTTTGGTTAGGAATGCCAAGTGGGTATGTAGTATACACAAACTGATGGATAAATAAGAGGACACACTTGATGGAATGAGGAAGTGGCAAAAGCAGCTGATACTGTAGTGAGAAAGTGGGTTCTGTGAATGCAAATTGAAGGAGAAAAATTACAAGAAAAAGGGAGTATTAGTGAAGAGGTAATTAGTTAAGTATTAGTTAAGCAGATAAAATGAATGAATATGGACATACATTATCTTATATAATGACATTTCCCATGAATATAATTTTCTTTACAGATGTTTTTAAGCGTAGAAAATTACTTTACTCACTGCTGCCAGAGGGTCATGACTTTCCGTACAGAATCATTCCACTGGCTATCTCCTCGACAGCTGAAATTGTAAGTAATCAAGCTTGTAATAACAATTTCATGTAAACTTTCAGGAAAAACGTGGATAGAGTGATTGAGGTAGAGCATATTGTTATTTCACTAAATGGAATAGTTTATGTACTGAACTGTATATACAGTATAATGTATGATAAAGTCTGGTGGCCACAAGGCTTTATTTGATGGTGACTGGAAGTTTGCAGTACATGCACAATTTTCCTCAACCACTTTTGTGCACTTTAGTTGTGTAGCATTGTACATTTAAGGCTCCTGGTAGTACAGTCAGGTTTGTTCTCGGCTCACAATGGGGAATTCGGGGAATTTACAACAAATTCTTAAATACAGTACTGTACAAATTTATAGCTTGAATTTTCTTAGGTGAAATGATGGTTGGCATTTGGCTGGAGCAGTTCTCCCTCATTTACAGTATCTCTGTAATTTATATTCTTTATAATCACCTGAAAGCCTTTATTTTTATGTGGCACTGGAGCCTCCAGTGGAAAAGCACTAATGTGTGTTCAACTTATTTTGCCAATCTTGGAACTACATTCTGTTAATTTAATGTCACATGGATCCAGATTCTGCAGTTTATATTTACAATTACATAAAAAAATCATGAATATTCTAACACCAAATTTATTTATTTATTTAGATACAAGAAAGTACATTGGGTTGTGAGAGAATATATATTTGTTTTTGAGTATTACATTATTGCAAAGCCACTCACATGCATAGCATTTCGGGCTGGTCCGTAATGTAACTGACCGTAAAAGTAAAAGTATTAATAGGTACATTCAAATGTTGGTGACCACTTTTGTTTGTAGGCAATAATTTCAGCTGAAATTGTAAACATTAAGTAGTTCTTGTCATTGTAGTTACTGTATTATATTCATTGTAAACTTTTAAATAAGAGGCTTCTTGGTTTCATGAAATGGTATTAAAATTGCTTGCAAAGAAACTAGTCGATAGATAGATCAGTATAATTATTATGTCCTGCAATAGTGTTATGAAGACCATATGCTGTGATTATGGTATCCATCACCAGCCTGTGAGCCCTGCATGGCAGCATGCTATCCTGTCATGGCTTGGGGCACTCCTGGAGTTTGGCATCATCACTCCCCACAACCCTTACGTCCACTTATGTTACACTGCAGTTTTTAACTTGGTCTCCCACCTGAACCTGGTATGTTATGCTTATGAACATGGTGCCATAGATATAAATGCTCAGTATGGTAATTAATGTTACTGTAGATATTTGATTTATTGATATAATGATGGTACAGTATATTGATATAATAATTATAAACCCGAAGGCTTTATTGTATTCGTGTAGCATGAAAATTGTTTCATTTGGCGAGTTACCATAATAAGGTATATTATTTCAGTGTGGCTTGGCTTGCAAGGTGCTGTATTACATAACCCTGCGTGAAGATGTTAATCGCCACCGCACACAGCTCTTAATGAGCCTTAAAACAAAGCCTGGATTTTTTGTGAATGTCTCCCAACTGCTGAGGTGAGCACTTTCTGTATATTTTGGGATATCTTGTAATAATGGCCAGCTTCATATCCCTGCCACGGCCACTAGAGACAGTGGCCCGCAGGTAAATGATTTTATGATGTGTCTCCTCTCTTGACTACTTCACAATTTACTTTTGATTTGACTCTTTTCAATTTCATTATTCATTTAAATTCAGTTTTTCTTCTGGATTTGTTGGGTTTCCAGATAAATTTTATGTTTTCAGTTGATATTAGCTAAATTTGCATATAGAAAAAACATACACATGTACTGTACTATGGTTTTATGTTTGCTGTGGTCTTAATGCAGAACATAATGGACAAAATAATTGAAGAATAGATTGTGGTTTTCCCCTTGAGACTTTGAAGAAGTATGGTAAGAAGTTGACATCAGATACCTTGTTAATATCATTATAGATGATGAGTCAGTTGATCAACTAGACTGGTTGCTAAAATAATATAATATTAAAATATTATATATTAACACTTTCGCGCTCTCGGCGCTCAAAAAAAACAATACCCCAGATGCTTCCGGCACTTCGCGCGCCTATGCGGTAAGACCGAAAAAGTGTACACTCTTTTGACTGTCCTGACAATAATTGAAGGCGCACGTATTTAAATTTGGTATCACTGTGTTCGCAATGAAATTGTCTATAAGAGCATACCTATAAAATGCCGCCCAAGCATAAGGAGTATCAACACCAAATAAAAAACTATGCAGATCACTCGCCGAGAGCGCCAAACAGCAACAAAATGTTTCCACTCTCTTAATGGTTGCGAAGCCACAGTTGTCCTACATCGCTAATTTTGGTATCATTGGAATCGCAATAAAATTCTCTACACGGACATATGCATATGAATGTTTAATATAGGTAATTGCCCACCCGCAAGAGTGTGTGAAGTGGAGAGTAGTTAGCTGCGAGCGCACTGGCGAAAACACAGGGGGGAAATCATGCTTGGAAAGTTTATACGTTTCCTGACCCTACTTTTCTATGTACGTATTTCTTTTTTATACCAATGTGTTCGCAATAAAATTTTCTATAAGATGAACTGTATAACATTTGTACAAAGCATGTGTAAGAGAAGCGCCAAATATAGAACCACGTTGCTCAGTATGCGTTCGCGGCAAAAACGAACGCATTGTTTTCGTTCGTTTGATGTTTGTCATGTTTATACTTGTTGAAACATTTTATAATTTGTATGACAGTGATCGCAGTAAAATTCCCTACACAGACATATACATAACACATACAAATATTTCCCACGTGTTGGATATATCAACGGCTAAAGGGAACCCACTGCCACACGCTCGCCACACCCCCAAACATACTTTGTGTATTTTTTTTTTACTCATAGAAGTTTATGTGATATAATATTCATTCTTGTACCAGAAAATTCGCAAATAAATTCTCTACAAAACAAAAGTATCCCCATCCATTTCGGTTAAAAAATGGAATTTATAGAAATATTTTTTCGATGGACGAGAAAACTAGGCAGTTATGCGGAATCGTAAGAAAAAACAGCGACGAGTTATCTCTAATCTAAAGCGCGAAAGTGTTAATATAAAATATTAATTGTTATATAAAAATGTGTCGCATTATCTCTTGCAGAATTTACCGCCTGTTCCGTCCAGATCTAGTGGTTGGGGAGCTGGCTTACAAGAGGGTTGTCCCAAGCACCCCCCAGAATATCAGAGCTGCTCTCTCGGCGGCTAGACTCCGGCTGCAAGAAACTTCGGAGAGTGTTACTTTTCAAAACTCTAACAGCGTTTGGCCAGCGTTTAGCCAAGCAGCAAAAGTAGGTATGGTTTGATTTAATGTACAGTAGGTAGTTGTTGGGCTGTAATGGTTATTAAATTAGATATTTTAATTTATGTGGAAAAATTAATCAATTTGTGATATATTGTACTGAGGTGGCCAGGCTAATGTTAGGTATTATGGTAGCCAGGTTAGTGTTAGGTAGTGTGGTGGTCAGGTTAGTACTGTATTAGATATACAGTAGCAGTCCCTGTGGTGTGGTGGTAAGACACTCGCCTGGTGTTTCGCGAGCGCTTTGTCCTGGGTTCGTATCCTGGCTAGGGAGGATTTACTGGGCGTCAATCCTTAACTGTAGCCTCTGTTTATCCAACAGTAAAATGGGTATCTTGTTAAACGATTTGGCGGGTCATATTCCGGGGAACATAGGATTAAGGACCTGCCTGAAACGCTGTGCATGCTGTGAAAGGCTGTACAAGAATGTAATAACAATTGTATATACTGTATAAATAAAAAAAATACACTACTGTACTATGGAGATGTATATAAATTTTGTGCTTAGTTTAATTTGATATAAAACAAAATTGAAAGATTTAGACAAATTGTAATTCATGTTAGATGGTTGACACCCGGAATCAATGCAAGGTAACTGGAGGGACCTGGTGGGGGGAGAGGGGGGTTGTCACCCCTCAGCTTGGGTCACATCTGGTAGGGTAAAAGGTAGGTGGTGTCAATGTTGAAGGCTTTCAATGTATAGGAGTGGAAACTCGATGCCTTGTATGTGACTACTGTACATCCATTTCTGATATGAATGGAGACAAACATAATAGGTAATATGTTTTATTGCATTCACTATTAGTTCCTTATTATTTGGAGGATTAAAATATGTTGAATTGCTGTACATTTTAATATATAAACTTAAGACTGGTCTGTTGTTGAAAAAAAATAATGCCAGTTTATATTTTGGATTGTTGTGCTAATTGAATACCTGCATGTATAATTATTTTTAGTTTACACGAAATAATCACTGTTAAGTACTGTAATTAAAAGATATTTTTTATTTAGGTTAACCCTTATCAACGAAACACGGCCATCCCTCAACCCGACACTAACTACTATACGACTACAGTAGAAGAGAAAAAGGAGAAAGTCATATTTGTCACCCAGTATCGAAGGTTTGTAAAAATTACCAGATATCAACTCTTCATTCGAACTTCAAATTAGTGCTTATAAACTACTTGTGGTCCTGAGCATCCTTTTGCCGCCCAGTCTGCTAACTTCTTATAAATAAATCTTATCTCAGTGTTACCTCATTTCCTATTTTCAGGGAGTTTGAGTACATCAGCTGGAGGAAATACTAAGTGAGCAGTATTGTCTAAGGGAAGGTTAAACACACTAAAAAGAATACCCACCCATCAATCATATCTTAAGACACTATATAGTATCATGTATCCTCAGCACTGTCACATTAAATGATAAACTAGAAGGGCAGTTGACAATAAGGTGATGGACTACACCCAGAGGAGCACTAGCTAGGTTCATGCCATGCATGAAAGATGTAGACAAGAGACAAACAATCCATGATTTGCTAAATGAGCAGAGGAGTAGAAATGAGTATGCTGTGTTGCTTTGTAATTTGCAGGGAAGTATAGAAATGGTTCAGAAGTAATGTAGCAGCCAAGGCCAAAAGATCAATTCTCACTACTGCGCAGCCATATCTGGAAGAAGTTGGTCAGTGGCTGGGTAATCAATATAAAAAAGGTCGAGTGAACTATAAGTGATGAGAAAATTTAATAAAAATTATAAAAAAAAATTAATAATAAATATTACAAATTTAATTGGAAGTCATGCCAAACATGAAAGGGGATTCGGTGAGCAATTATGTAACATTACCTAATGCTAACCCCTCTTTCCAGGACATCTGACTTTACACCATAAAAGTAGCTAGAGGTTTCTCATTCTCGCTTACTACTGAAGACGGTCTCGGTTTAGGACTGAAATATTCACAATGTTTCCTTGTGTTTTCAAAATGATGGGTTATTATTTTAAATGAATGATTGCACTACATTCTCATGGAAATAGAAATATCAAGAGTGAGAAAACATTGGAATGTGGTGTCAGGAGAAAGTAGAGAAGCCTCCCCCTAATAGAACTTCTTTATTACTGAAGGGAATGGTTAGAGTAATGTATAAGCCACTGACAAGGGAAATAACACTTATTCAGGAAGCCTTCCAACAATATAGAAAATGTAATACATGATAACCAATTTTCAAGAAATGACAAGAGGTGCTAAATAATAGGACAGTGTTCTTGAGAGCTATTCTCTGCATGGTACTGAAGGAAACAGTCGGGCACAGAATAGTGGAACATCTGGACCAAATAGATTAGTTGGCGAAGCCAAACCTCATATGTTTCCACTGATTGTTGTCATTGAAATGACATTCTCATTTGCTGTTTTACAAGCAAGGTTGAATTTCTGGACAAATGAATTTTTTATTAAAATTTTAAAATTGAGAAAGTTTGTATTGAATAAACACTCTATTGTATTACAGTCTATTGTATTACACAGGCAAAAAATTATTTCAGATTTTCAGAACTTTTAGGTGGAATGGAGGACAGTCGCTTGTGGCAATGGCCCAACAACCCAGCTTCACATTCAAGCAGCCCCATTATTATTCCACTCTTCCGACCCCATGAACCACATGTTTATGTGGGCCTTTCAAACTGGCTGGAATTTGCACTTAGAATGGGTAAGTTTGTCATAGTGTTTATGATTTTAACCTTAAGTTTCCCTTCAAATAGTAGTATTTTTCTTGGCCCCAAAATGTTATGAATTTCAATCATGTAACTATGAGTTCAGAATGAAATACAATTAGACTATGCTAAAGCAAATTCCTGCAAAATCTGCACATTCTAGTCCATCAATGGTTCTTTTATGCATTACATTTAAATATACAAGAATTTGTTAATTAAAGTCACAAAGCTGTGCCTAGGAATTGGATGAGAGGTGTCCATGTGCTATTAGTACTAGTTTTCATATGAATGCAGTGTATGCCGAAGAATTTTAGTGCTAAATATCACGTTGTTTCTTATGTAAATGCATTTGTAATATGGAAGATGTCACAGCAGTAATTGTGGTGCTGAAAGGAGGAAAAAGGAAGAAGAAATGTATTGCCATTGAACAGAAGAGCAGAAAGTGTGGGAGGAGGAATGTGTGTTGGTGCACTGGGGAAGCAACATGGTAGAAAGACAGTATCGGGGATTTACCACTGTCTATTTGACAGTATGGGGTTTACCACTGTCTATTTGACAGCATGGGGGGTTTACCTCTGTCTACCTGACAGCTGAGTGGTGAATGAAAATCTTATAAACATCCAAATTTTTGTCAACGTAATTGTTTTAAATTTAAATTTTTGGTATTGAAATGTTTATAAAGTTTTGCTCTGTTGTATACTACGAGAGAAGCAAATATTGCATAATAAATACATTTCTTGAGATTTGAATTTTCAATTGGGGCTGCATCTCTGCAGCTCCAATTAAAAGTAATCAGTGATCAGGTTGGTGTTTGTATGGAGGACTTATGCTCTGTTGTCTCCTGTGTAGGTAAATGTTACTTTAACATAATATATTGTAACAAAATATTTTATATTTCTACTGACAAATACTAAAGTTTTAATGATGTGACGTAAAAGTGAAAGAATAGAGCAGTGGCTATTCTGGCAGGTGAAATGCCAGTCACATAAAATAAATAACAGTAAAATAAAGTAAATATGACTGCTTTTGACCTCTTTACTGTGTGAGAGCTGCAGGATAAATTCCAAAACAATGTAAAACTTAAATATTTAATATAACAAAATGACTTTAACAACAAATAAAACAATTCCCCTGTGATACTTGGCAAGAACACAAAACAAAATGCAAAAAGAAATATAAACATGTGACAGTTACGTTAATATCAGAATAAAAGTGCAAACATTTACTTTATACAAGAACTGTTCGAGTCTATCGACACCCAGGGGAGCGAGAGTAGATCTTGCAGCTTGGAGCAGGAAGAGTATTCCGAGGTCTGGCTGGTGGTGAGCTGCTTATATAGGCGACCAGGCCTAGTGTAGGTGGCGCTGATGTGCATGTAACTATTGCCGGCAGTCTTTAACTAGCGGTTCAGCTGGTCGACCGGCAAGTGGAGTTGGCCCCAGACAGTTGTCTCGGGTACTTGAGGGTGGAGAGGGGGGAAGGGGTGTCTGCTCCCAACACAGGCATCTGAGCACGTATTATAGTTGTTATTTTCTTATACTTGAGTATAAAGATATGTTGTTGAATAGGTGGTAAAGGAATAGGCAGGATCTCATGCCTAAGCAAGAGATTTCTGTAACAATGATTAAAGGTTTTTATGCAAAATTGTTCATTATAGTGCAAAGAGATACTGCACTAGAGTGGTTGTAGGGCTACCAAAAGCATTGGAGAAATACAAAAAATGGACCTGGCAGGGTGGGGGAAACTATAGAGAAGTTTAACACAGATAAAATGACCTCTGCATATTGCCTATGCTCTAGGCCTATTACCTATGGGCGCAAAAGAAGGTTTTTAGTATGCTGATAAAATAACACCAAGTACAGTACTTCAAACATTCTCATAGGTACATATATTTAAAAAATTCTTTATTGCACATTACTATTACTCTAATGCCTTGAAAAGTTATTTAACATTGGTACCGAAAGTGTCTTGTTCACATGTTAGTGTTACTGTACTTTGCTCGTTTATTCAGATGAAAGTCAATAGCTTCTGTATGTTAACCATTTCAACAGAGGTGATAGAAGGTTTTGGTAACCCAAGTTTTGAGCGCCGGGAAAAGTTGCTGGACGTGGCCATCTCTCTAGTATGCAGTTGTGGACCTTCTGTTCCTGTTGTCAATCTCTTTGTAACAGAGTTAATGTTCAAGTGGGATGGAAAATCACACTTTGATAAGGTAATTTTCTTCTATTCACATTTTTCTATAAGACATTTTATTAATTTGTAGCAGTGTATATTGATGATCTTGCCACCTCTTTTCAGTCTGTGTTAGTCACAGACTAACTAACTATTTTGTAACTATCTTACTGAAATTCAGCCTTATTTGCAGTGATCATTGCATCACCACCACTCAGATTTACATTTTTCATAAACCCATGTGTGGTTCTTGTGTTAATTATATGATTAATCAACACATTAATTAAAAGATGACTTGATAAGCATTAATTCATTTAACTTCTACTTGTCAGGTGATGGCACTATTAGAAGGAGTATCATTCTTCTCCCCTGAGTTTCTCTCGGAAACACTCCTGAAGGTAGTTACCAGAATATCGTGCATGGCTCCTTTGGTCACCTGGATCAAGGTTGTGGAGGCTGTGACCAATATGGTGTGCTCCTGGGCACTGACGGCTTACGAGGAAACCTTCAGGACACAAGGTACTGTAACAATCTCTCTGTTTTTTATGAAACTCTTCCACTTGATGCATTTTCAGCAAGCTCACTCAGTTCCATTGGCCATGATTATGTTAGAGTAGGTTACATTCTGCATCGTTTCAAACTGACATTATTAGTTACAGGCAGTGAACTTCTTATTTGAACTTGAACCTGGATAAATTTACAATATTTTTTATCCAAGTCATAATGATGTGAATATCTAGATTAAATTGTCTTGTTTCTCTTCTGTGGCAGATGAACATTCGTGGCCTGGACACTTTGCACCTGAAGCTTCTGTTGTTGGCCTGTGGTTCCTCACACTTAGGATGGAACGAATTTTCCTCAAGGCTTTGATAGATTTCAAGTGCCATCCAATGGTTGTACACCATATTTTGGACTACTATGTCAAGGTAAGTTGAATAGTGTGTTCTGGTATTTTGTAATACAGGTAGTCAATTCTGATTAAATTTAACATTATTTTGTAAATGTTATTTTTCCATATACATTATAAGGTTTACTGCATTCTTTTGTAGAATTTGAAAGAAGTCATGTTATTTAATGAGTATATGATGTAATGCTTTGTAACCTAAAAATTAAGTACATATTTCATTTCAGTTGAATATGTATGTTGATGTCCTAGAGCTTCCTATGGTGTTCTTCCCTCCAGCCACCTTGACTTTTGCTGTGGTGACCAAGGGTGACCTTATGACAACCCACCGTTTGGGACAGTTATTATCCAGGTATTTTGACTGATGACTTGCCCAGATACATACTATTTGGTTGCAGAATATGGATGGTTAATTTGTAAGTTTATGTTTGATAATACAGGTGTTTCACAGTTCAGAATGGAAATACTTTCTGCAGTAGCCTCTACATATGTTGATAAAATTCAATTTCTTGGCGACAGAAAGCCTGTGTATATATATACTTTAAGCTTATATCGAGGTACTCAAGGGTCGAACTGCTGACTTTCTCGAGGGTGCAACCCCACAACAGTTGTCTTGACTCCCAGGTACCTATTTACTGCTAGGTGGACAGAGTCATTAGGTAAAAGGAACCATGTCCAACCATTTCTGTTCTGTTTGGGATTCCCAATTGAGAGTCAAGAACAAACCCAATTGTACTATCAAGACCCTCCATACATCTTTATAGGCTTTTTGAACATCTTACTTAGGAAATACAGAACTGTAATGCTGAAATTTCATTAAACCCCAGATGACAAGGGTAGATACTCTTGTATAAAATGCATTGAATATTAGAGGAATAAATGAAGAATATGAGAAACTGGAGGTGGTGTAAGTTTTATGGATGCAAGGTTTGAATTGCTGCATTTGTGAAACAAAACTGAAAAGAGGTGATAATGAAGAACATATTATAAAAGCAGGAGTGAAAAAAATGTGAGGAGTAAGAATTGCATATTCCCGATAATGAATTAAGAGTGGTATGTAGCAGTGAATGACTTCACAGAGATTTTACAAAGCTTGTGCATAGAATTCAGGCTTGGAAGGTGTAAAGGTGGAGAATATTGCATATGCTTTGTAATGACCAAAGCAAGAATGAATGAATTGTTGGGTTTAAAGAATATGATCAGTTTTGATACTAAGGCGTTACAGATGAACTGTGATTTGAATGGTAAATTAGGCATCTTCGACTATCTACAGGTATTTCTTGTACTCATTCTCTAGAGACTACTGTAGCTCTCTTAGTAATTTTTATGTAATAAAACAAAATTTAGTTACATTTTGAAAGTGTTACTTATAAAAACTGTAGGATAAATTATATGTGACAGTGCTAAAGAAGTGCAGTAATATTTTTAGTTTTGAATCTACAGTATTTCAACAAACAATAAAAAGAAATTAATAACTTGATTCATTAAGTAACTAAGAGTTTTAATTTTATAGAATGTGGGCAGCGATGCAGCGTTTGCGGGATACAAAAGCTAGGTGGCCAGAGGAGGCGATACGAAGGGAATGCTTAGGCTTTGCAGAGTGTGTCAACCAGTCGGTTATCTTCTTCTTTAAAGGTGTATATAATGCTAAGGTGAGGAGCAGGCTTGGTATTGCCTTTACAGTTCTGTACTATAGAATGCATCCTTTTATCCTCCTGGAAAGTCTTTATAAGAGTTTGTGTCCCGGTATTTATTCTTTGTTACATTCATTATTTTTCTGGCAATTTTAGCCAAAGTAGCTTGTTTAAGCACTCCATTTTCTTAATGACTCCCTTCTACTCCATTTTATTTTGTAATGGAATTTATATAACACAATATACTGTGTATAACTACAAAAGACCTGGAAGTCATACAATGGCATTAATCCCATCATACAGCTCCAATATTTTCTCGGATACCTCACATTTCTATGATTTAATTCTGTATACAGCTACTCAAATCATGACAAGAATGTTCATTTTGTGCTCTTCATTATTCCATCATTTGAACTCTTCATTAACCTATCATTTAATGCACACCATTTTCTTCATATTTCAGGCTCTAACAACAAAATGGGAAAAAGTATTGAGTCCTTTTTATCCATTCCACTTCCTGGAGGACATACTGGTAAAAGAAAATAGCTGCAGCTTTGCTACAATTACAGATGCACTAGCCTATCTTCCCTTCTCCACGAAGTACTTGGTGGAGAGTACAGGTGATTGGAGTAAACAAGAAGTAAGTTTTTAATAAAAATTGCCACAGTTTTTGCCTTCATGTTCTTATTTGTAAATCTCTCTAAAATTGTATGGATTTTGTCTGGTTTACTGCCACTCTTTCATTCATCTGTTAACTTCATCCATTATTCTATTAGCTTTCATTCTGTGGGCTATTATTCCATGGTCACATGTGTCAAATTTCTGTATACAATGTCTGCTTTTTGGTTTCCTTTTTTTTTATATAATGCCTAATTGTTGGAGTGATTACATAATGGCAAATTATAAGATCCTCCTGGTCTAATATGTTGACTTGGATTGTCTCATTCTTTTCTATGTAACTGATAAATTGACATGGTAGCCCCCCTGTCAGGAAGGGGAGTGGCAAGAGCCAGACAAACCAAGTGCACCAAATTATGATAAAGTTTGGTTTATATAAACACTGCCACAGGAAGGAAGCTCTAGTATCTATGTTCACACCTAGATGCTTGAGCCGAGATATTCACCTTTGTTGTCATTAACCACTCACACGTGAATGTGGTCAGACTCCATTGGGTTAATTTTCCTCGAAGGTCAGTGATTACATTAGGATGGGCAAATTCTGGGAGACTTTCAAATTGATATAAAAGAATTTTCAACTGTTAGCTCAGATTAAACGCATGGTTGCTTAATCAGAAACAAATACCTTATTTTGGCTTGGGCTACTGTATTATTATAAAGAATACATATATAAATTTTTATCCACAGAGAGAAGAGGTGCGTGACAGAATAATTGAAGAGTTACAGGAAGCTGAACTAACAGGAATTCAAGAGTGTGTGCAGGCCTTTAAGAAAAATTGATTTCCATGTACACTCCCTAACACATTTGACCTCAGTGATGACCTTTCCTCTGTGTGGGTTCCTATACATTCAACATAACTCTTTATTCATTTTTGAGACTTTTTGTAAAAAAATTTCTATTGCTTTTACATTTGTCTTTTCTCATCTTTATATTTTAACAATTGTCATTGTGAGAATGCAGAAAGAACAGTTTCCTAAAGGATGAGTAAGCAGGACTGAAAAACATGGACTTCAGCTTGAACAGTTCTTCTGAACCCCTTGCATAAAATGCATTTTCTGTTATTTATTAATTATACCAAGATGATAGGCAGATATCTTGTTAGAAAGCCCTAATATTGTGGTTGTAGTACACATTATTAGTTTTAAAATTGTAATACATTTGCTAATATTCCATTACATGTATTTACATTTTTTAAAATTTCAGTACCTGTATATAGTAATAATTTAGGTAAACTTTAGTTTTGCATTTTGATTAATCACATGTAAATATATCTTTACTGAAAGAAGTAGCTTTAAAAGACATAGGGAATAATCTCAAAGTTTGCCGAACTATTGTATGTAGACAATTTTACACAAAGATTTATTTTATTAAGTTGAACATCACAGTTAATGTTTTTTTTATACTGGGATTTAGGCCTTGGGCAAGTATGAAATTACCAAAAGATGATGCCAAGCAAATGATGTATTATTGTACTGTACTATATAGGATTATGCAAGATTAAAAAGTTCCTAGATATATCTGGATGGTGTCCACAAGGTTAATCAAATTTCTTAAACTTAGTTAACCAAAAACCAAGATTCACTTTTATTATCAGAATCTAATTTACCATGGATTCTGTTAAGGGTCTTGGGAAAGCAAGACTTGCAATTAGGACATTTAGCTGGAAGAATTAAGTTTGTTCATGGTACAATTTATTGGAAAGTAAATACATAAAAATATTTATCCAAGAACCAATTTATTAATACTGTACGATTAAATAGCGTTTAATTTTTTTTTCTTATTCCGTGTTATGAATATCAGCCTAAAGTACTGTTGAGGTATCGAACAAACAAGGCCATTAGCTTGCTGGTGTCCTCAACAGGATGCGTCTTTGTGTAGGAGATGAACTGCCGTCGGGCTCGTGTTATTTCTGCCAGTGTTACCTAAAAATAAAAAAAAAAAGTCAAACATACATTAACTGCAATAAAGGTTAAGTTTACAATTTTATAGAGGTAACAAGCACTGCATTTTAAATTGCATCGGAGGTTGAGTACATCTGTATAAAGGGAGCCTTTACAGTCAATGGAATTTTAAACGTGAACAGTACAGTGCAACCTCAAAAATCCAAATCAAATATTTTCCAAGTAATGATTGATTCAGCTTTATTTTTCTGCATGATTTGAATATTTTGGGAAGATTGGATGGGTGGGTCCTACAAATGATTACAACATTAATAATGTGTGTGTAAATGCGAATAAAGTTGATATATATTTGATAAGATATACAATAATGCCCTCATTTGCCACATTTTGATGAATTACATGTCATTCACAGTACTGTATACAGCATCAGATAAACGAGTACCTACCTGTACTGTATAATAAATATAATAATTCATTTTGTCAGGGACAGGTAGCCTGGGTTGATATACAGTACAGTACTTTAGGCAGGCGATGAGTCACAATAACGTGGCTGAAGTATGTTGACCAATATACACACTAGAAAATGAAGGGACGATGACGTTTCGGTCCGTCCTGGACCGTTCTCAAGTCGATTGTGAATCAATCGACATGAGAATGGTCCAGGACGGACCGAATCGTTGTTGTCCCTTCATTTTCTAGTGTGTGGATTGGTCAACACAGTACTTTAGGCTTTTATTGAAGTCCCTTAATGTTGTACTGACCTTCCCGGGTACCTATTTACTGCAAAGTGACCAGGGGCATTAGGTAAAAGGAAACGTGCCCAACTATTGTTGTTCCCCCGGGGAATTGATTCTAAGATGCCTGATTGTCTGTTGAGAATGAAGCGTAATTGTACAACAATACCCTTAATAAATTTATGGATTGTCTATAGTTCTTGGTATGCTAAGAATTTATATATGGCTTATTCAATTCATGCTGTTAAAATTAGAAATTAAAAAAAACATTTATTGTGGTGTACTACCCAAAATGGTATGTGAATTAGTGGCTTAGCAAGAATGTAAAATACCAATCTTGTGTAATCTCTCAAACCCAGTGTGCCTTCTTGTAAATAAAATTATTATATATCATTGACAGTCATTCCTCTACATCCCATTAACCAAAGATGTATAGTATATATTAAAATAAGAAAATACTGTGCATTGGTTAAAAATACTACAAATCTTTCAACTTTGGTGAATACTGGATTTCTTTTTTAACAAAAATTAATGAGCATACCTGAAAAAGGGTGACACTTATTGTTATCAAGGTCAGATAATAAATTATTATTATTATCCATTTTACATCTGTGGTTGCCCAATCTCGCCATATCATCATTCTGAATTTCTCAGTATCAATTTAAATAAAAAATACTCCAGATGGTGAAACAATTTTGCTAGTGTAAAGCTTCATTATTTCAGAATAAAAAAAAATAATGAAAGTACAGTATAGCATGTTTTAACTACTATTATCAATGTTTTCAAATTGTAAAGTGCATACTTTATACTACATGTGGGGCAGTATTAGTGATGTACTGTACCTTACGCCCAAAACACACCGATTCTCCAACTCCAGGAACCTTGATGGTGTCTCCAGGAACTAGTGTCTTTTGGGCTGACATAACACACCCTGCCACTTCCTGTTGAACGAAAAATATACTTACATCAAAAATGCTTCAAAATCCAATAAATTATAAAATGGTCAGGAAGACAGAGACTAGAGAGCTGTCTTAATTTACAGTTAAAAAAAGTTTTAAGGATATGCAAAGGATTAGAAATCAGAGGAGCATATGTACAGAAATCAGAGAGCAAAACATCAGTCAAATTTAAACTAAACATATCATGAAGTTATAGAAATTTGCACACCTTAGCATTCTACATTAATAGAGTCTGGTGCACTTCTCAATCAAAATCACTCCAAGTACAGCACAGATCAAAATTAAGATATTAGGTTCATTAAAACATTACAGATAAACTTCTAAATGTGCTGTATGGATGTACAAATCTGAATAAACTGTTGTTAAGTTCAATAACAAACATATTCAAGATTTTCATAGTGTTAAATTATGCATTAATGTTTACATTGTACTATAAACATGTACAGTATTCTGACTTATCAAACATTATAAATACAAGTACAGTAATGAAAGCTAACTACCAAGCCTTCTACAGATAAGTCGATTGACAATGTGTCCAATATGAACAATAGTATATATTCTTTATGTACATAATTAAATACTGAACTATGTTAACATTTTATGATGGCGGGTTGAACTTTGTGATGATAAATATCATAATTTGTGATTAAAAACTACAGTACATGGTTCCAGGGCTGTTTTAACAGTGTTGTAGGCCCTGGATAAATCAATGCACAGGGGGCCCCTACCCAGATGGTAGGGCTCTGCCCATCCATTGAAGTATTGGATTACTGTCAGGTAGCTATGCACAAATTATATATACAATGAATATAATTTGAAAAGGGATTTAAATCTCAGGCCTTTTCAGCGAGAGATTGAATAATTATCCACTCTACTGAGAAGTTTCTTGTGAACAATATGGCAGCAGGGTCCCCTAAAATTGGGCCCCTGGGCAACTGCCCAATGTGCCATACCGTAATACAGCTCTGCATGGCTCATCCAGAAATGGCATAATTACGATATAACACCTAAATTATAAGCTAGTATTAGTACTTTTTTTTAAAGGTTGGGAGTGATCACAACTCTGCACCGGGAAGGTGGCAACTTCTCACTAGCTACTTTATATAAATGCTTCAAAATAAATTCTCGCATTTACTAAATGCAAAATGGTACAATATAGCATTGCATGTCTATTTAAAGGTTCACATACAAGCAAGAATGAAACAACTGCACATTTGCAAAAGTGGTACTTTACCTGTGTCGTACGATCAAGCTCAAAGAGAAAGTTTGTGGATGATAGCGGCTGAGTCTGTGTAGACTGGTTAGGTGGAGGTGGTTTGCACAAGTATAAAGCATTATAAATGGATTCACATGGAGGGGAGTCTTCTGGCAAAACGGTGAACATAGGAGAATCCCATCTGTTGAATGATTTGATTTGATTATTTGTACAGAAGAAAGAACACAAATTAATTTTGAATGCCTAAAGTATTGAATATGTGGTACAGGGAGATAAGATTTTTCCTTGTGATTATTCCCCTCATACTGTAAATCGGAAGGTATCAAAGGTATACTGTACTTGTAGATATTGTACAGTATACTAAATGCATTTGTTGTTTACTTGGTGTTAGGGAAAAACACAAACCAATATATATTTTAGTACTACTAGGTGATCTCATTTAAGTGTTTCTACCTTCTGATATATTTAATTTCTCAATAAGCAAAATAGGAACAAAATTATGTAGTATTTTTAGAACACAATAGTAAGCAGCATTTTGGGCTAGCTGACTTCCTCTCAAACATTTTTTGGTTGCACAAGATTATATGGCAGAAAATTTTAGTTACAAGTAATCAAGTTCACTTTTTTTAGGTAGTAATATTATACAGTAATGAATATGGAATTTACAAAATGAAGTTTAGAAATAGTATAGCATACCTAGTTATGAGTATATAATAACATGGCTCTGTGTGGATAATGTGTACAGTCTGGCCAGTAGTTTGACAGATGAATGTAAACACAGCCTCACAATTAGCTAGACGAACCTTGACAAACTATGCAAGGATTTTGTGTCTGCAAAATGTGGCAATAAATGAAATGTTGAACTACAGACATTTCTCATTTTTCCAGCTTATTCTGCCGGTGTACTGCAGCAATATAAATGTGTGTCGCGTTGTTCAATCTCCACTTACACTTACAATCCATCTTAAATGCTGTCAAATTTGTCATTAAGAGCATATTTCACATCTTACTTTATTATTGAGGATTTAAATTTTAAAACTGGCAATGTAAAATGAGAAGTGATGATAACAAATATTAATGCATAATTCTCTGAACAATAAAATATATGTAGGTCTGAAATTATTGTTCATGAATACTAGATTTATATATTAAGCTAAGGGAAACATTCTTATGAATGATCATATTTACATATTCTGCATGATATCATGAAATGTATACAGTAAGAGAGATTGAAGTGCTAATGCAGTACTATGTAACATCAAAACTACACGACTTCTTCCAGGGTTATATGTATTATATCGTGCATGTTCATATATTTATAACTTCTTCCAATGTAAAACATATCACTCGTGATCCACGCATTTATAATGTCTTCTGGTGTTATACACATTACTCATGTTGGCTTTATAACTTATTCTGGTGTTATGCATATCAATTGTTCTTCACAAATGTACAGTACTATATTTATAGCTTCTTACAGTTATATACGTCATTCACGTTCCAAACTTTTAACCTGACTACATTAAAATAAATTTACAATTCATCAGCTGAATAAATTATACATTATAAAGCATCACTGAAAATGACATTAGACTTGCAGTATGCTTTGAATATTTGTATGCCAAATACACTGGAAGCCTCACCTGTTACTACTGTTTGGTGCCTCATATCTCATTACCAGTCCGTCAAATGCCTCTCGTGTATATTGCTCTGCTTCTGGTCTTGCAAGGTTCCATGTCCATGCCTGTTCAATAGGTGCCAAGCAATGAACCAAGCACTGTGTGGTTTTAATTTGCTTTGATGCACAATAAAGCTCATACCTGAAAAAGTTAAATATGGCATTGACTCATTTAACCATATTCAGCAGTATTTTTATATCTATAGTACAATAAAATATATGCCTAAAGAAAACACTGGTTTACTTGAGTTTTTAATAACATTTCAGCAAAGAATTATAACAGCTGCCAAAGAGTGACATTAATGACAACAACTGCAAGTATAGTAATGACTTTGTATCCCCCCTCCAAATGTCATTAACCCCGCAGACACGGACACTACAGTGTAACATTCTATTTTCAATCATTTACTCTTGTTACAAATCTAAAGAACAATACAGTATGCACATTGGTCTACCTGTAGCCTTTGATGTAATTCGCAGCATCCAAAATTATCACATCCTCTTTGTTCAACAACCGCAGGACGTCAGCCTTGAGAGCACAGCGGATGTCCTTCTCTCGTGTTGAATCACTAAAGATCTCATTCTTTTCCTATAATGGATTACTGAACATGTGAACATGTTTACTCAGGACTTTACTCAACCAGCAGGTCTATCTAGACTTTTAATTTTTGCACATTACAGACACAGAAAATAGAGCAATTTATTTTTATACAAAACATATCTTTGATATTAAAAAAATGGTCATACAAGCTATAAAACCAGCATTGAATGTAATGAAATGCTAGTTTCTGGGTGAGCCCCAAAGGCTCCCTGAAGCTATCCATACTGATATAGTGCTATATTAGTTGAGGTCATCAGTCGCAGAGTTCGTGTTGCCCAGGCAGCACAGAAATGGTTGGGCACATTTCCTTTCACCTCATGCCCCTATCCACCTAGCAGTAAATAGGTATCAAGGAGTTAGTCAGCTTGTTGTGGGGTTGCATCTTGGGCGGGGCCAGTAATTATACCTTGGGGGGGACCTCGGTATAAGATTAACATGTACTGTAAATATAACATGATTTCTTGTTCCCTGACACAATGCAAATTATTATTAAAAATTATTATAACACGTCCTCCTAATAGAACGTGGCATTTTGACATGTAATAAATAATAAATAAATAAATAAATTTTTATTCAGGTAAGGTACATACATACAAGGTAAGATACAAAAGTTGATGGATGTACTCTACTCAAGACCAAAAATTGTCGTACAGTACTAGAAAATTGTAACTATTAACGAAATTGACATATTGTCCCGTTTTCTGTTTTGGGTTCTCTGGTAGGTTAAGATAAGCGCACTTTAGTACGACAGTTTCTTGACGTTGGGGAACCTTAGGATGACGGGCTGTTGTAATACCTAGTCTGTAGTGAAAATAAATAAACTAATACATGATCTGAAGGAACCTATTACCCACTATGATATTCACCTTTTCGAGCAAATCACCTTCGCTCACTATAACGACAGTCTTGGTCTTCTCATTTTCCAAGTAACTCTTTATTTCGTGAGCTCGTGTGGTCTTGCCACTCGAAGGGAAACCCGAGAGCAGGAGGAGCGGCATTTTGCCAAGAGATGCTGTATCACCTCCGTCGAAAAAGATCCCCAAAATGCAAGCCCAATACGTCACAATGACGTCACATTTCGTGCACTAGATATATAAAACACAAAAAACATCTCATATTTCCTCTAGGGTTAAGTCAGTTTATAATATATTAGAATATGCTAGTTTAAGATAATTTAGGTTATGGTACGATAGGAAAAAAGAGAATTGGTTCAAGTGCATCAATGACGTCGATGATATAACTTTGGGGGAATATTGAACCCCCTTTTATGCCTCACCTCCCCTCCGTTCTCTAGGAAGCAAAACAACAACATTATTATCAAACTCTATTGATATATTACACAAGTATTCCCAGCAAATAATTCTGCTTTTATCTTTTAGATAAAATATATATTGGCTACAAGTCACATCATACACAAAACGATTCGCCAACGGATCTTGGAACCTACCTAACCCAACTTAACCTAGCTCAACCCAACCTTATCAAACTTAACCTAGCTCAACCCAACCTAACCCAACTTAACCTAGCTCAACCCAACCTAACCTAACTTAACCTAGCTCAACCCAACCTAACCTAACTTAACCTAGTTCAACCCAACCTTACCTAACTTAACCTAGCTGAACCCAACCTAACACAACTTAACCTAGCTCAACCCAACCTAACCCAACTTAACCTAGCTCAATCCAACCTAACTTAACCTAGCTCAACCCAACCTTACCTAACTTAACCTAGCTCAACCCAACCTAACCTAACTTAACCTAGTTCAACCCAACCTTACCTAACTTAACCTAGCTGAACCCAACCTAACCCAACTTAACCTAGCTCAACCCAACCTAACCCAACTTAACCTAGCTCAACCCAACCTAACTTAACCCAGCTCAACCCAACCTTACCTAACTTAACCTAGCTCAACCCAACCTAACCCAACTTAACCTAGCTCAACCCAACCTAACCTAACTTAACCTAGCTCAACCCAACCTAACCCAACTTAACCTAGCTCAACCCAACCTTACCTAACTTAACCTAGCTCAACCCAACATAACCTAACTTAACCTAGCTCAACCCAACCTTACCTAATTTAACCTAGCTCAACCCAACCTAACCTAACTTAACCTAGCTCAATCCAACCTTACCTAACTTAACCTAGCTCAACCCAACCTTACCTAACTTAACCTAGCTCAACCCAACCTTACCTAACTTAACCTAGCTCAACCCAACCTAACCCAACTTAACCTAGCTCAACCCAACATGTGACATTGTAGTTAAATATGACATTATAACTAAATGTGACATTATAATTATATTGACAGTATAAGTCCATGTAACATTATAAGTAGCAGTCTCCGTGGTGTAGTGGTAAGACACTCGCCTGGCGTTCCGCGAGCGCTATGTCATGGGTTCGTATCCTGGCCGGGGAGGATTTACTGGGCGCAATTCCTTAACTGTAGCCTCTGTTTAACGCAACAGTAAAATGTGTACTTGGATGAAAAAACGATTCTTCGCGGCAGGGGATCGTATTCCAGGGACCATAGGATTAAGGACTTGCCCGAAACGCTACGCGTACTAGTGGCTGTACAAGAATGTAACAACTCTTGTATATATCTCAAAAAAAAAAAAAAAAAAAAAAAAAAAAAAGTAAATGTGACATAATAATGTATTGTGTCGGGGGACAGGAAGCCTGAGTGTATTCATACACATTAGGCTTATATTGAGGCCCCCCCCAACCCCCACAGGGACGAATTACCGACTCCGCCCACGATACAACTCCACAACAAGCTGACTAACGTCTGAGTACCTATTTACTACCTAGGTGAACAGGGGTATTAGGTGAAAGAAAATGAGCCCAACCATTTCTATCCTGCCCATGATTCGAACTCTGAATTCTCGAATTTCGATTATGCACCGAGAACGAACCCGACTGTACTACTGGGACCCCACTTTAAACTAAGATGTGACATTATAACTAAATGTGACATTATAAGTAAGCATGACATTATTACTAAATGTGACATTATAAGCAAGTGGGACATAACTAAATGTGACATTATAAGTAAATGTGGCATTATAACTAAAGATGGCATTGTAGCTAAATGTGACATTATAACTAAATGTGGTATTGTAGCTAAATATGACATTTTAGTTAAAGATGACATTATAACTAAATGTGACATTATAACTACAATAAAAATAAGTTCTAGAGAAGAATCCGGATGTTATGTGTGCTGAGCGTATACGAACTACCCAAGACTTTGTTTACCTGATAGAAATGGCGACAGGGAGGGGAGCTTTGTCTCTTCTGCAGAGTTACAGCTCTGATAGCGACGGAGACTCCGGCTACACCAGCGAGGACGAGAAGAAGAGGAAGCAGGAGTTCAGCAGCCCTCATGAACGCAAGAGTAAGAGACGTAGGGCGGACGATGAGGAGGAGATGGTGGTGGACACCCCGGGTGTCTGCTCCTCCCGTTCAGGACACCATAGTCCAGCGGTGTCCTCGGAGACCATCATGGGCGAGGAAAATCAGCAGCGGCCAACTGATTCCACCATGGACACTACCTCACACCAAGTACACAGGTAATGGTGAAGCTCGAGTCGGTAGGTATTGCCTTTGTCAGCTTGAAGGAGGGAGCCCAGGAGCTGGAGCTCTGTTGCTCTATAAAAAAAACTATGTAAGAATGCAAGTTATGTAAATAGAGAATGCAGAGGCTAAGTAGTTTTATTAATGAATGTGAAAGGTACAAAGATTTCAGTAGTACATCACAAGAATTTTTTTTTAGTATGCATAATACTATATAAAATGATTTTAACCAAATAAACTTGTTTGAAATTTTAAGAATTATGTATAAATTACTTTATATGTATATTTTGTTTTGTAGAGGAGGCTGTCTTCTCTATTTGCCATATTGAACCTTGTGTTTTTCACATAGTCTGATCTTTTGTGCATTTATGGTTGCTAAAATAAATAGTAGAATGTTGCATTTAGGTGATTGATATACATAGTGGATATTCATGTTGCACAGCTAAAAATTACAGAGTAAAATGCAAAAATATGCTCCCCCCCCCCCCTAAAAAAAAACATATACTGTATATATATCCTTTGGGGACTAAAGGTTTCAGATTAAATTCTCTTTTAGTATGGCAGTTTTAAAAATAAATTAATTTTCTTTTTCAGAAATATACCTCTTCCAAGTGAACTGTTATTGGCGAGAGAAGCTCACATAGACGACCCAAGAGAACATCAGGGAAGAGTTAGATCATTTGCCCATGAACGGGGTAACTGGGCATCAATATTATATGTCCCCTGTACGTACAGTGTAATTTTATATATATATATATATGTACACGGAAACTTTAGAAACATATGCTCTATACTATTGCAACTATACACCCTGCTTAAAGAAAACATGCTCCATACTCAGGAAACTATACTCCCTGCTTAAGGAATACATGCTCCATGCACAGGAAACTATACATTCTGCTTAATGAACACGTGCATTGTTTAGGAACATAATGCTTAATGCTCAGAAATAATGTGTTATTTGCTTAGATGGGGGGGGGGCGTTTACATGCTCAGGAGCATTGGGTGGGAGGTTACATGCTCAGGAGCATTGGGTAAGGGGGTTACATGCTTGGGAGCATTGGGTGGCGGGGTTACATGCTCAGGAGCATTGGAGGTGGGGTTATATACTCAGGAGCATTAGGGGTTCCATCCTTATGAGCATTGGGGTTTCCCTCTCAGGTTCTGTGTTTAGGGACATTGGGGTTCCATGCTTGTAAACTTAAGAATAGTGTAATTTTGTTTTCTCTTAAGTTAGATACAATATTATTGTCTTTAATGTCATACTTTTCTTATGATGTACTCACATTGTACAGAAAGGAAATTACATAGAGAAAGCATCAAGCTGTTATGACTACATTGATACATGTACACTACAACTGATTTTTTTTTGCTTTGAAATGTTAGAGAACAGTATTCATAAGTTTGTATCAGCATATATGTACTTGTCAATCAATATATGCAGGGCACATGATTTATTACTGGCACTCATCATAGTCATCAGAGCAGCTGTTTATTCTCTCCAGCTTCTTTGAGATGCAAAAAATTAAAGCCACTTAAACTGGTCAGTAGATCGATGGCCTCGGTTCTTGCAGTGTCGAAGTTCATTCATTGATGGTCCATGTAATTGGACACTATTGCTTTACTGTCATCTTATCTTTTCCAAGTGCTCTATAGTCATACTATTTTCGTATTTTTTTTCCTGATTATAATAATGATTAATGTTGAAGGTAAATCTTTATTTGTGTTTGCAGTGCATCTAGGAATATATGGGCCAAGTTTTGCATCCTTTATGGCTTCATTGGTTGCCACATGTCAAGAGCAAAATGTGATACTTAATCCCTCATCTGATCTTCACATTTCTTTAACACGAACACTAATACTTCATCTTCACTGGATTCAGCCATTAACAGAAGATTTCAGAGCAAGATTAAGCCAAGTTTCCAAGTAAGTGCTACCCTTTTCACTTTAATAATAAGATTTAGATAAACAGTATTCATCACCTGGAATCTTATTTTTTGTTTGGCATACTGTAGGCCAAGGTTCTTCAAAGTACGTGTTGTAACCCATTACTGGGTTGCTAGATGCTTATCTATCACTAGGTAGCAAGGTAAAAAATATAAAATATTGGGTACATTACTGACTTACTTTGTGACCCTAATATTACTGTTTTTACAGATATGTGTTAAGGTGAATTTTTTTTTAAACTTACTGTACATACACATACACACAGTATATACTATACACAGTGTGCTAAACCAGTGTGTAGTTGGAAAATAGTTTTGACTGATGTCAATGCAAAGGAATTAAAAGTGTGAATATTATTGGAGAACGTTATTGGGGAAATAGTTGAATTGTGAGAAAAATATTGAAACTTTTTGGCTTCCAAATGTATCCCTGATAGTTTTAATGTGATTCTGAACATCATGATTAAAGTGGCTAATAACAGTAAAGGAAGCTCACTTGGTTATTTGAAAGGTTATGTTTGGAAATGGTGTTGATCATTCTTTTTATTGCTCCACACTGAAGGTCTCTGGCTCTTACAAGGCAGTCGTTTTAAAAGGCCATCCATTAAGAATGAATAATAATTATTTTGTTTTTAAATTGATTTGGCAATTTGTTTTGTAATGGTAAATGGATAATGAGGTCGTCATATTTTGTCATGTCTAAATGAACTTAATTTAAAACTACAAGAATTTTTTTTTATTCTGACACTGAAGAAATCAAAGCATTACAAAAATCCTCGCTACTGTATTAAGCCTCGCCAAGTTGACCACCCGAACTATTAAATGTTCTTAACTCTGTTGCAACACATTGAAGAAAACAGCATCACCGAAGAAAGTTTGAGCAAGATGCAAGGAACATACAGTTACCCCTCTCTACTTTGACAGTTTTCATCATCATTTTCTGGAAGAGAAAGTTGAAGTGAGAATGAAAAGCACTGGGTAAAATGTACATTTGTTTTTGAGTCACCTAAATTTATCATCGAGTTGAAACTAACATCTGAACAAATGCAAAATAAGCTGTTCCATATCACATGTAACAATCATTAACTTTATCAGCATTTTGGATTAGTGTTCCATATGTATATCTAATCTTAAGATGAGTGTTTTTTTTTGTTGCTTCTTTGTATGAACAGTTACCAATTGTGAAGTTGGATTTTCCACTCTGATAAGGTTAAAACCAAAAACAGAATCTGACTTAACGCAACCAATATACCTGTAGCGCTCTTACCATGTGAACCCAAGGCCAGGATTCATCAAGCATTTACGCAATAACTTTGAACCAGTACATCTTTCCTCCGAACCAGTACATCTTTCCTCCTTCATGCTGGTATTGTTTACATTTAATTAATTACAGTCTTCGAAACTTCACTACCTAATTTATGAGTTTTATAAACATTATAAAACTCGGTAATTGAGTTTTCTAATGTTTATTGAGTTTTATATACAACTTTGTAGAGCTTTGTCGTCTTTAAACTGTTAATTAAATGTAAAAAGCTAACATGATTGTTTGAGCAACATAAAAGTTTCATAAGTGGTTGCATAAATGCTTGATGAATCTAGCCCCAGACTGGGTCAAAATAAGACATACTGTAACAGGAAAGTTCACCAGTCACACTCAACACATAAAATTTCAATTTATTTATTTATTGTGTATTTGAAAAATTATTAAGAATTTCCTTAAATTAATTCTGTATGTCTTGACTAATTAGTCAAAAGCTCTAAATTAGGTTACCCTGATACCTTGTTTTATATGACGCATCAGTGTCGTACTAGGGTCATAACATTTTATATAATCGAACTGGGTCAGGAGAAAAAAGTTTGAAAAACCCTGCTGTAGGCCATTACAAAAGTAAAATTCCCTAACTCAACATCATTCTGAGGATCGTGAGAGCAATTTCCCGACAATTTTGTGTGAAAATTTTCCAAACCTCTTAAATGATTGTTTCATATTTTCAGATTTTCTTTGTGGTTACACGGCTTAAATGTGTATGTTAATGATGAGCGGACCCGAACGTTCTTAGGGCTGCGAGTGTGCCACGGACGTAATGAATTGGAAGATATAGTCTCTGAGGTGGACAAGTGTCTGGCAGAATACAGACTGCCACCTTTCTTTAAGGTGAGTAAAAATGTAACAAATTATTTATCAGAATATTTACAGTATTAAAACTTTTCCTCCCTCCAGAGTCAGTAAGGTGCAGAGGGGAATAAACTTTAAAAGAAGAAATTGAGATTTGAATTATTGTGAACAGTCTTTTAAAGTTTTTTACTATGCTTATGCAATGAAATGTTATGGAAGTATAGGGCTCCTTTGCATGCATCTAAATAAGGGTTAGCATATTATTTTTTATGCTTCTACATACTGTACCTCCTCTTGTTAGAATCCCAATCCCAAAAGAAAATGTAAAAAATCGACAGTTATACTTTTTTTTTTTTTTACCAAACAATGCTTTTAACTGATCATTTTATATATATATATATATATGTCGTACCTAGTAGCCAGAACGCACTTCTCAGCCTACTATACAAGGCCCGATTTGCCTAATAAGCCAAGTTTTCATGAATTAATGTTTTTTTGGCTACCTAACTTAACCTAACTTTTTCGGCTACCTAACCTAACCTATAAAAATAGGTTAGGTTAGGTTAGGTTAGGTAGGGTTGGTTAGGTTCGGTCATATATCTACGTTAATTTTAACTCCAATAAAAAAAAATTTGCCTCATACATGATGAAATGGGTAGCTTTATCATTTCATAAGAAAAAAATTAGAGAAAATATATTAATTCAGGAAAACTTGACTTATTAGGCAAATCGGGCCTTGCATAGTAGGCTGAGAAGTGCATTCTGGCTACTAGGTACGACATATATATATATATATATATATAAAATGATCAGTTAAAAGCATTGTTTGTTAAATGTAATATAATATATATATAATAAATTTTATATAATATAATACTGTATATTATATAAAATAGACTGTATACATTCTGTAATGTGATTGTTTTTCTGACATTTAAAATTTTTAGCATGAAAAATTACCATCTTCCTAATCTGAAGGAGTATGAGACACTTAGCATGTATGTGGGTAGACATAACAGCATGTAATGTAATGTTGATGTTATTAATGCTGTAGCAGGGCACACTACCATTGTAGTTGCCTCTAATAGTGCTCAAAATGCCTGTTGGTAAGCCATCTCACATAGAGATGGCTTACTGACAGGCATTTTGAGTCCTATGCAGATAAGTATTTTATGAGATGTTTGGAGTGATTTTGATTTGGGATAGCCTCAGAATCTATTACTATAGAATGCTGTAGAGTTCAAATATCAATAACTTCAAGATATGATTAGTTTACATTGGTTCTGCTATACTTCTCATCATCTTAAATTTGTGATATAAATTTGCCAATATCTTTCTTCCTGCCCAAATGGTAAACCACACTTTGCTTTATCCAATATGTCACCTTTCAAACTCTAAGTTAAATGTCGCTCACTTTATGCTAAAAATGTAAATTGGTTTTAAATGATATACACCTGTTTAGTTCAGCCATTATTGTATTCATTTGTACAAGTTTTTAAGAATAGTTTCCAATTTTGATTCGGATAATGTCTACGTGCTATGCTGTTATTGTGACACTCTTATGTAATTAATGTACTTTAATTTTAATGTAAACTTCCCAATTATAAATATACAACTATTTTTTAATAAAGTTTTTGATTTGATTGTTAAGAAATAAGGAAGAAAAAATTAATGCTTATACAGTATATAATAGTTATACAGTACAGTATGTATTAGAATAAATTTTATAAATGAAAATAAGCTTTTCTAATTTTGTTGTAATAATATATGATATTATTCCTTGCAGG